TGCTAGCTTTACAGGAAACTGTGGTTGTAGATTAATGAAATACTGCTCAGTTTAACCACAGAGTAGTTATGTAACTGTCGAGTGCAGCAGCTGTCAAACATCTAATTGATGAGTCGCACACATTCCTGGTAATTAGTGAGCACAGGTGAGTCAGCTGAAGGTCGAACAGTGTTACACCGATTATCATTTTCATCGTCTTTGTAGCTGATCTGATTCCTGCAGGTTTGATGTTTTTGTGTCTAAAAGGCTAACAAACAGTAAAAACTAGAACTGACTAGAATATATCAGCCTGTTGTCATGGATACCCAGTTCAACCTTTTGAGTTGAGATCAAATTTCTGATTCAAAGATCAGGTCAGTGCATCCCAAATAAAACCCAGCATTAAATATTCACTGTGTGTGTGTGTGTGTGTGTGTGTTCGCGCGCGCGCGCGTGTGTTCATTTGTTATCAGCCTAAATATTGACGTTCCTCTGCTGCAGACACAAACATGAGTCATGTCAACATAAAAGCAGGTTGTTCAGGGTTAAAGAAAATCTCTGACTTTTCCTTCAGCTTTGTATCCTAATAGAAATGTAATTTATTTAATGACCCAACACTTGGATCCTATTTGATCATCAGTCATCAGAGCCAGTATCTAACAACTATATTTGTGCTTTTATCTAAACTCAGGCTTTGGAGCGGATGTTGGAGCAGGAAGATAAAAAACCCGCTGGTTTCCTTTTGGCTTGGTGTAAAAAAAACAAAACAAATGAGCTTCAGTTTCTGTGGCGCTGACCATGTGACTCTGTGTTTGTCCCCTCAGGTGCGATGCCCGGTGACGGTGTGCGGCGATGTCCACGGTCAGTTCCACGACCTGATGGAGCTCTTTAAGATCGGAGGAAAGTCTCCCGACACCAACTACCTGTTCATGGGGGACTACGTCGACAGAGGCTACTACTCTGTGGAGACGGTCACGCTGCTCGTCACGTTAAAGGTAAACCTCTGTGTTTCTGTGTGGCGTTCACATGTGCGCTCTGATGTTTTCTGAGTTTACTTCCTGTTAGGATCACAGCGGCCCTCTCGGTGGCCACAGGCTGACAGACTGTTTGTTTGTTCTGATAAGAAGCCGACTGAACTTGTTTGCTCCGTCAGTCTGAAAGCTTCCAAAAATCATCTGCAGAGCTTCTGAGCTTCAAACAAACAGATCAACATCAGCTCAGCTGAGCAGACGTTTAATCTGAGGACTGATGGTTCTGTAAAGTTTTAGAGCATCATA